CTGGAACTGGTGGCTCCAGCACAGAGCTGGGCTTGAATCCTGCTGCACCTGCACACTCAAGCCCCATTTCCAGGCAGCACATCCCTTCCACCACAACACAGTAATAAACTAGATGACAGTGGCCTACTTTCCATCCACCTGTGCCACAGCTGGATAGTCACTGTTTCCTACTGAGCCTTGGTCCTGATTGCTCCACCGCTGGATGAACTGGTCTCCTGGAGTAACAGCCAGGAGGACGTGGTGGTGAGCCAAGCGTGTCACCACCATCCAGCATCTGGGGTGCAGGTCACACCTGATGGTTCACAGCATGTCCTGGTCTGTGGGACATTCTGGAGCACCTGTGTGGGTACCCTGAGCCTTCATGAAAGACCTCTGCTGGTAGTACCTCTTGGAGCTCCCCAGGGGGTGACTGATACCTCCTAATTCTTTCCAGAGACATGATCATCCTCATGGCCAGAGGTAAGGCAGCACCCCTGTTCTTTCCCCTTGCAAATGTCTGAGACCTTCTCAGGTTCTTCCCGCTGGATTGATTGCAAGCTGGAAGCATATGTGGCTTCGTGCACGTATTTATACAACAAAGTGCAGCTGCTTCCTGGGCACCGTGCCATACCCACTGCTATCACCAACCTGCCAGGACACAGTGTCCTCTCTCCTTTCCCACCCTCTCAGCCTGTGTGGGAAAGAAAGTCACAGCACTATGGCCAAAGGTCTGATACATCCTGAAAGCTGTGGGAAGCCATCAGCCCCAGTTGTTGACATGGAAGAAGGGGAAAGCTGAGGATGCAGCCCCTGTATAGAATCCTGGACAGCTCAGGGTCCTGCTGGCAGCAAGGTGAGGTCACCACTGTTGGAAATATCCAAGTAATTTATCAGGTTGGTATCTTTGATAAAGCAGATTTTATTCACAATTGCAATGACGAGAGTCCCACAAGCAGAAGAGCACACAGAAAACAGTGTTACATCTTTTTATGCCCTATTACTTGATGTTTATCTCTTTCTCCCCTGGTTCTTCATTGGCTGAGTGCTTCTGATTCACAGTCCTCCCAATGCTCAACTAAACATATGGATACTGGATAAACATAAATTTTTGCTAGCTAAGCATATATCGCTGATTATTTAACTTGTAACATTTGCCCACTCAACACTTGGCCGTCATTTCTGGACATCTGTTTGTCCTTGCATAGAGATAAGCTTGGAAGGAGGATAGAGAGGAGTATCTTGATGCCTTCCAGTTGCATCCCAAACAACCCAGAGAGTGAGACAATCTGGTGTTGTGCAGAGGCCCTGGCTTCTTATCCAGACAGAACAGCCTTACAACATGTTTTCTAGTTCACAAAATGAGGGACTATACCCATACTATTTGGAACATTTAGAAACTATTGCAGTTTTGCAAGCAAGAATTAATCATGTAATTCAGCAACTGTATTTCTAAAATATGGTATTAAAATGTATGGTACTTCTACTTTTTCACATCAGCTATTTCTAAAGACAAGTTACAAAATACAAATAAATGGTATTCTACTTCTTCAGATCAATACCCTCTTTTCAATATTTAGTGTAGAAACAACATTCCATTCCTACACCATTCCCTCCAAAACAGCTGGAGCAGGGCCATGCAAGACAATGCATCCTGAAGAAGCCCTGCTCACACTGTGAGCTGTGCCACCTTCCCCCTCTGCCAGGCCACTGGCTCCAGCTCACTGGAAAAACAGCTGCTTGGCTTTTTCTTCCCTATTCATCTGTTTCCTTCCGGGCTCAGGATATTTTGGGCACTTCTCTGTTCCCAGCTACCCTTGGTGGCATAGGCAGTTTCTCAGGATTTGTTTTCCTCTGGACTCTGTGCAGGCTGAGAGCTGAAAGGGGGAAATGCCAACCCCTTTATTTCAGACCTGCTGCATATGGAAGGAGAGATTTACCACTCCACCATACTCACACATACTGTCAGCTGCATGTGGAGGAGAGCTGTGATGCGTGGGGCCAGCATGTGGGTCTGGGTGGAGCGTTACAGGAGGAACATTGTAGAGTCTTGTGCAAAGAAGGAGGTGTGAAGGATATGTGTAGGAGGTAGAGAGCTGCTCTGATACAGCAGCAAGACTCCAGGCACAATATGCTACCACTGCCAGAGGGCAGATAGGTGCAAAAATGAGGGACAGAAAGAAGTGAGAAGTACTGGTCTTGGAGCAGAGGTGCCCTGAAAATGGTGCTGTCAGAAAGCAGGCTTTGGGAGGAAGCTGAAACATCACTTGAAATCCCATAGTTCCCACTTCCTGGGCTTAGCCAGGTTCCCTGTCCAAGAAGCAGGGTGGTACGTGCTGAGGCAGCCCTGGGGAAGGCGGCAGGAAGGGCTGGACCAGATGTGAAGCTGCCTGGAGGTCTGAGCAGCAAATCCCACTTGTGAACATATCTTCTCCAAACCAAAATGCAGCAGACTACGTCCCTTTGGCCTCACTCCACCCTGCTCCAGCTGCATGCTGCTTATGTCCATTTTGGTGTGCTGAAAATACCTTTCTGTGTATTCAGCAAGTGCATGGCTATGTGGGAGTGGACGGCAGTCTGCAGCAAAGCGAGTGGGGCAGCATTCGAGGGCAGTGGTGACAGACTTGGGTGGCCAATGCCACAAGAGGGAATACCTGCCCAGGCTGCAAAACACCCTAATGCAGTCTGTGCTCCAGGGATCCTGCTGTGCTCCTGTGCTATTGGGGCATCTTCCTTCTGCCATCGCCCTGCAGCAGGCTGGGATATCTGGGGTCTGTCATCAGCTTGGTGAGCTCCTGTGCTCACAGCTCCGTACACTTGAAAGAAGTAATGTCTGCCCCTGTTGTTAGCTCCACTGCAGCACAGGCTAACATAGTGCTTTTGTTCTGCTGGTGACACTGCAGGGTGGTTGGTGGGTTGGATAATGGAGACCTCTTTGGATTCTGCTGGCACTTTCAGTCTCTGACCATCAGCAGAACATCTGGACTCCAAGCCAGGAGTCCAGGTCACACAGTATCACATCATGCCCTCAGTGTTCTTCCCTATCAGAAGTAAGACTGCTTGTAAATTGCAGGTGGTTTGGGTTTCCCTCTTTGCAGCCCAAAGATCTGACTGTGAGCTGAATTCACTGATGATTGATTGCTGATGGAACCGTCAGGAAGCAGCTCATCAATCATACTTATGATGGCCAAACCTGCAGCCTTGAGGCCTCAATCCTCTTGAGGGGAGATTGTGTGGCTGGGTAGCTTTCCTGAATGCTACACAGGAAATCAATATTAGAAAGCATCTACAATGTGTTGAGATGTCTTTATGAGGCAGTCCTGCTCTAAGGACTAAAACACTGTATGTAGAGCACAAACAGCCCAGATGTCACATGCTTGTGGAGCCCCAGTGGGTGTTCTGATGGAGACGAAACTCCGTTAAGTCGTGCCATACTGAGCAAGGATTCATGATCTGCTGACTTGACTGTCTCTTGGAAACCTTCCTGATTTGGATTCTGTGCTGGGGATCCTGGTGAAATAAGGCATCATCTGTTGAACCAGCAGCTGCAATGCTATGCTGTGTAGGAGCCAGGCATGCGATTGAGTGCTGTGGCCTTTGGTGCAGCATTTCAGCATTTTTTTCTATTGTCTGTTATACATCGAGAAAACAAATTAAAACAAACGAAAAAACAAACAAACAAGCAAAAAAAGATAAATTTTCTAACATACACAAAGGCTCTGCTTGAAGTAGCCAAGAACAATCTTCTCCACTCAGCTTCAGAAAGATTCTCTTACCCCACTATTATATGCACTCCATTTTGAGGTGCCTCACATCCTATAAACCATGGAGGAAATGTGGACAGGGCAGGGTAGCAGGGAATGTTTGATGGAGAAGGCTGCATATGGTGGGTTCAAGAGCTCAGCAGATCTGGAAGGTCCACAGTTGGGGCTCAACAACAGAGTTGTGGCAGCAGGACTTAGTGAAGGCAGTGAAAAGTGGTACACAGTTCATCCTACTGACTTAGACAGGGGGGAAAAGTGAACATATTTTCACCCTTAGTATCTTGTTAGCTCTAACAAACAGTAGTGAAGGCCTGGTTTAAGATGAGAGTGGTGGGCTGACCTCAGACTGCAGCCAGACGCTTCCCAGGTACTCTCTCATGCAACTCAGGAGGAGGAGATGGAGGTTTATGTTAGGGGTCAGGAAGAGCTTTTTCGTGGTTAGGTTATAGAAAATGCTGCCCAGGGAAGTTGCCATCTCTGGGGTTTTTAAGAGGTGGGTGGATGTGGTACTTAGGGACATGGCATGGTGGAGGATTTGGTAGTGTTAGGCGGCTGTTGGACTTCGTGATCTTACAGGTCTTATCTAACCTGAATGTTTCTATGATTCTATAAAGACACTGACTGAACAGTGCTCCAGGCAAAACTGGGAAAATTCTGGGAAAATTAACCTATTGTCTGCACAAATAGATATGGAGAGTGAGAAAAAAATGTTATCAAGGAAAAGTTTAAATTGCTTTTCCCCACCCCTTCTTTTCCCAGCGTCAACTTCCCTTCTGCTTCTCAACCCCTTCACATCCCCACAAGGAGTGCAGGGGAGTGGGAATGGGATTGAGGATGAAGACAGGGGATGAGGTTGTGGATAGAGATGTGGATTAGGTGAGAGGTGGTGTGGGTCCATCCTGCTGGCCTCTGCAGCTCCTTTCTCCTCCCCCCCACCAGCTGCAGCCAAGAACCTGTCTGGATGCTGCAGCACCTCCTGCCTGCAGTTTCTCCCTTTTTTCCTCCATCCCCACCCCAGGCAGTGTTTTCCCCCTCATGCTCTCCCTGAGACAGTGGAGTGGCTCTAAGGAGTCTTTGGAGATGTCTCAGTGTGCGTGGGCATGGAGCAGCTCTGTGGGTGCTGACTGCCCAAAGAGGAAGCTCCTCACTCCACGTGTGATTTTCCCTGGTTGTTGTTTCATTTCTGTGTTTGCACCTCTCCCTCCAGTGCAGACACCTTTCCCCAGCAGTGCTGAGTGGGGCATATGCTGTGGCAACGGCATGGCCATACGACGGCAGGTGCTGGCCTTCTTGCTGGTCCTCCTCCCTCAGCTGGGGAAACAGAGAGAATCTTCAGGAGCAGGAGCAGTTTCAGGGAAAATTGAGGAAGGAGAAAGGGAAGAAGGTAAGCACTGGTTTTTCCTCTCTCTTCAAAAGAAGCTTTTGCTGCTCCTCTCCCTGCAAGCTGGCTCTGCATTTTTCCCTCTTTTGACTGATGGCAACATGCTGGAGAGAGATGAAGACGGTGTCCACCAGTCCCAAGGCACTCAGGCATCACTGGGTTGTGTCAGATTGAATCTGCTTTAGGAGATGGAGGACAGCAAGCCTCAGCGTGCTGGGAATGCCTTGGCACAGCAGGAAGGGTGGGGACAGCTCCGAGGTCTCTGTTTGGCTCCTTGTGTGGAGATGGTGTGCTCTGACTTTTGTGATGCCCGGGAGTAGCTGCTTGTTGCAGCAGGGCTTGGGGACCCTGAGGTGTGAGCCATTATCTCTACAGAGAAATGGGAGCAGAAGTGGCTTGCCAAGTTGTCCTGTGGGTCGTGAGTCATGTTGCCCATCTCTGGTGTTTGGAAGGAAGTGCCGACTTTAGCGATGGGCAGAGAGACAAAGCTTCCTATCTGGGCAGCATATGTGGCTCCAAAGAAGAGGGTGGTGACCACTGTCCTTTGCAGTGCTTTGCAGGACACAAGAGTGCAATGATGGTATGAAACCCACTGCAAGAGAAGGGAGGTTGGGAAGAGGTGCTGCACCAGAGGACTGTGGGCATGAAGCAGGCTCCCCAGGGCAGTGGACAAGGTCCTAAGCTGCTGAGGCTCAAGGAGTGTTTGGACAACACTGTCACTGACTGCAACTGGATGATCCTATTGGTCCCTTCAGACTTAGGATAACCTTTGATTCTATGAAAGTGAGACTCGATAGAGAATGCCTGCAAGTCTGCAGAGGTGAATGGGAATCTGTATAAGGGTGCTGCTTCCTCTTGTTTGCTGCTTATCCTGCTCTAAGTTTCCTCTCCTGCAAGCTAAATAAGCCCAGTTATCTCGACCTCAACTTTCCTGTGCAGCACACCAGTTCTGCTCATCTTTTGGGACTCAGACAACCTGGAAATGTCTGGGAGGGGACAGTGATCACCACAGTGTCACCCTTTTTGACTTGTCTCCTGCTCCTGATTCACAGGCTCCAACCAGACCCTTGTCTCTTGCCTGTTTTCTAGGGCATCTCTGATCAAACAAATGGTCTCCAAACACCCTGTGGCCCTGCCGGGGTGATGTCCTTGGAGCTGCAGACATGTCATAAGTCAGTTCCTAATGTGCTAACATCTGCCTCCACTCTGCCAGTGTCACAGCACAGTGCTTTCATGGGTTCAGAGAAGAGGTGGACAAAGCTCTCCACCTTGTCCTCTGTTACCAGACAAGCCCCTTGCCTGGAGTAGGACTGTCACACTTTGTCCCCAAAAGGAGAGTGCCCCAAATCCCAGTGGGATAAAGACTCCAGTTTACACCAGCTCTGTGCTGCCCTTCCTGCCCAGGGGAAGGCAGGCTGCATGAGCATGAGGATCCAGATTCTGGATGTGCTGGGGAAGTGGGAGGTGCTGCTGAAGGGCTGTGGTGTAGGAAGGCTGATCCACATCATGACCAGAAACTCCATCCCTCACCACTGTGTACCAGGGCAGGGAACACTGTCCCTATCCCCTGCTTGAGCAGCCTCTCTTCTGTTAATATCTTCCCATGTTTTTGGTGCAGAGAAATGCATGAAGCCAAAGTTGGGTCCCAGGATTCACTTTGTCCCAGACCAGGAATTCTACGATGTCAATACAAGTTTGATGCTGACATGCCCTAATGGGTACTGGCCTTCTGCCATGGAGATCACTTGTGTGAAGCCAAGACCACACCAAGGCCTCCCAGCTCCTCAGAGCATCTGGTTTATGAAGAACAGCACAGGCTTATGGCCATTGGCAGTGGGATACATGAGATGTGTGGGTGAGTGAGGACCTTTGTGAGTGAGGGAAGGTGAGCATGATGGAGGTCTCCTGCATTTCTGCTGGCCCTGTTACGTAGGCACACATGGATACTGTCTCTCCCTCTGGAACAGCTGAGCAGGGTTACAGTGCCAGGAGCCTGAGCAGCAGCACGGCTCTGCCCTTGTCTCTTGCTGGTGGATACGGCCGTCACTGGAAGCACTGAAGGGACTTGTCCCTGCTTCCTCCAATTTCTGGGCTATCGTGCCCATGGACAGCTCGCTGCCCCACCTCACCACCTCCCACCCTAACTGAAACCCCTTTCACCTTTGCCAGAAACATGTCAAAGGCCCCAGTGGGACACAAGACTCCATCTGGCACCAGACCAGGAGAAGTACAGAAAGAATGAAGAAGTGAAGCTGCGCTGCCCTGAAGGTTTACAGCCATCCTACACCCACGTCAGATGTTCAAGAGGAAAGCAGTCCATCAACCATGGGAAACCTTTAAACAGGGAATTATGGCTGGGAAGGGACAGCAGCGATGCCTGGACCCATATTCAGTCCAGTGTGAAATGTGTGGGTAAGGGAGGCAACGGAAGCTGTCTTGGGAGCCCCGTACTGTCCTTCCTGCCCAGGGGAAGGCAGGCTGCATTAGCACGAGAGATTTGAGGCTCTCTGTGTGTTGGGGAAGTGGGAGGTGCTGCTGAAGGGCTGTGGTGTAGGAAGGCTGATCCATGTCATGCCTGGGAGCTCCTTCGTTCACCACGGTGTACCAGAGCAGGGAACATCCTTCCTCTCCCCTGCCCTGTCCTGCACAGACAGCCTCTGTTCTGCTAATGCTTTTCCATCTGGCTGCAGGGAAATGTCAGAAGCCCCAGTGGGACCCCAGGATTCTCTTTGTCCCAGACAAGGAGTCCTACGATCTCAACGAGACAGTGATTTTGACATGCCCTGTAGGGTACTGGTTGTCCCACACAGAGGTTTCCTGCATGAAACAAAACCCTAGACAAGGCTCCACAGCTTCTCAGAGCATCTGGCATGAGAAGAACGGCAGAGGACGCTGGCAGCCTGTAGAAAGGAACATGATCTGTGTGGGTGAGTGAAGCTGCCATTCTCAGTCTGCTCACCCCAGCAAGGGAAATGGTGCTAGATGCAGTGTGCAGCCTCAATGCAGTGGGTTCTGGGTAGTCAGGGAATGCCGTGGGTGTGCGCTCCAGAGAAAAGAGCTGCTAATGCAGCCCAGGGTTGTGTCTGTCCTCCTAGCAGTTACCAGATTAGCTGCTAGCCCCCTAGTGTTGAGAGCAGAGCGATCACAAACTTGTCAATCCGTTTTTGCCATTCCCATCGCCAGGCCTGAATCACTGCAGCACTGTGCTCTTAGAGCGGTCCAGGGCACAAGAAATGTGCAGTCGTTGCCCAAGTACTGTGTGGGAGAAGGGAGGATGGCACTGGCCACACAGCCCTGGGGAAATGACAACAAAAGTGGGACAAAAAGAGATCTAGTGCAGGTAGGGAGGGGATAGGGAGAAAGTGACACTCCTGCATGCTTCCTTCATAGAGGTCTTCCAGGTTGTCCCTGGGACCCTGGTGGTTTCCAGCACCAGCATCAAACTGAACTGGACCTGCAGCATCCCTGATGCCTGCCAGCACATGCAGGCTACATGCCAGCTGGCAGGGCCTTCCTCTGCTCCCTGTAAGGCTGAGAAGGTCACGGAACAGGAGATACTACATGGTCAGAAGGGAACATTCGCCTGTCCTCCTTTGCAGCCCTTCACTGTTTACAGCATCACAATCTCAGTGCCACCCAGCACAATACTGTTCACACAGCACCTTAGGACAAAAACAATGGGTAACTGCCCTCCTATATGTAATGTAAAGTTTGCTCTTCACCCCAAAAACCCCACTTGTGACTCCATCTTCCTGTGCTTCCAGTGCCACAGAAGCCAGAGCAGCTGCAGCTGGATGCCAGCACAGGGACTCTCAGGTGGAAGGCGCTGCCCCCCTGTCGAGGGGAGATCATTGGGTACCAGGTACCGGAGCAGAGCTTTCTGTACCCAGGCAGCAGAGCAGCATTTGCTCTATGCTGCCCTGGGCTTGAGCAGGAGATGGGTGCTGCTCCCCTCAGCACCTCTCCTCCCTCTAGCTGAACTTCACTGCCAGGAGAGCACACGATGGCACCTTCCTGAACTTCCAGCAGGTAATAGTGAACCACTCTGTCACCCAGTACACTCCGCCTCCCCAGAGCCCAGGCAGCAAATACACAGTGACGGTCCAGGGCCTGACGGCAGCTGGTGCTGGAGATGCATCCAGCCTGGAGTTCCAAGCCTACATCTCAGGTAACGGCTTCTGTGTCATGCGTCTGCCTGGTGCAGTCATGGGGCAAGCCTGAGCAGGTCCTGAGCTGCTGTGCACCCATCCTGTCCATGACAGGGCAAGGAATCATAGAATCATAATAAAGTTTGGGTTGGAAGGGACCTTTAAGATCATCTAGTTCCAATCACCTGCAGCAGGGAGGGTCACCTCTCTCCAGACCAGGTTGCTCATGGCCCCATCCAGCCTGGCGTTCAATGCCTCTGGGGGAAGGCATACAAGCTCACTGGATGGACATATCCAGTGTCTCACCTCCCTTACAGTAAATTTTTTTTTCCTAATATTGAGTCTAAATATCTAGTCTGCTCTCTTCCAGTTTAAAGCTATTTCCTCTCATCCTGTCGCTACATGCCCTGATAAAAAGTCCATCCCCAGTTTTCCTGTAGGCTCCTTGAGGTACTGGAAGGCTGCTGTGAGGTCCCCCTGGAGCCTTCTCTTCTCCAGGCTGTACAGCCCTGGTTCTCTCAGCCTGTCCCACAGTGGAAGTGCTCCAGCCCTCTGATCATTCTTTGTGGCCTTCCACTGGACCTGCTCCAACAACTCCATGTCCTTCTTGTGTTGGGGGCTACAGAAATGGACACTGTTCCAGCTGTGGTCTCATGGGAGCAGAGTAAAAGGGCAGAATTACCTCCCTTTCCCTGCTGGTCATGCTTCTCTTGATGCAACCCAGGATAGAAGGGGTTTCTGGGCGGCCAGCACATGCTGCCGGCTCTTGTTGAGCAGAAGCATGGGTGCAGCCCCTGGAGCTGTGAATCTTCTCACTAACCAGACTGCACTGTGCAGTTTATGGAAATGGAACCCTTCCTCATAATCCAAAGCCTCCCTGTTTCTTCTCTGCCCATTAGAGCTGAAGGCAGTGCACGTTGTGACTTGCTGCCTGTCCCCACAGAGCTGTGGATACTGGACAAACACACCTGCACGTGTGCACACCTTGATGCCAAGGCCTGGGCACTAACTCCAGGCTGTGACACCCACTGCTGGCTGTGTTTTAGTTTCAGGGCAGTTTCTGGGCTCCTGGCCATGGACAGCGGTGACAGTGGTGGTTGTGCTCTCAGTGATGGTCACTCTCTCTGCGGTGATTGTGTGGTTCGTGCTGTCCAGGCGAGTAATCTTGGGACTTGAAGCTGCTGTTCTGCCTCTCAGTCTCGCTGTGGTACTGGGGTGGCTAGTGACAGAGTGGGCTTCCTGCTCTGCTCCCACTGCTATCAAGCAATAGGGATGCTACTGGCTGGTTGGTGCCACCATGATTCAGCTGTAGGGCTGCTAATGGGGTCATCTGAGCGTCATCCTCGGGGTTGGGGCAGGGAGTGTGTGCTGGGAGACCCCATCCCCTGTAGCCATTGCTGCCAGCGCTGCTGTGCCATGAGGTGCTGACGGGCAATGCCTGTCAGTGGAGGAGTGGCTTGGGCACAGAGTGTGCCAAGTGCTTCTTCCACTGCTACTGGGTTCAGCAGGGCTCTGGGCCATGTCAGCCTGTTCCCAAATTCAGACCATCCCTTTGTCTTCCTAGGAGAAGGAAGGCTGTGTCCATCAAAGCTGAGGAGGACCATTATGTAGGTAGGGGTCCAGCACAGGGTCGGCTGTGGGGCTGGAGTAGTGGGTGGGGGAGAACAGATCAATGCCCGAGCTGCTGTCTGAATCTGCCCCGCTCCTTCCACACACCCTTGTGCTCTTTTGTCCCTGCAGAGCTGCAGCCCTATGAAAACTCAGACATTTACTCTGTGATCAAGGGGAGATCTCTGTCACAAGAAGAGACAGGTAGGAGGTGGGATGCTGTGCTTGTATTCCCTGAGACACCAAGGGGCAGGTATTGCCTGGTGCCCCATTCTGTACTAGAGCTGCCAGAGCTCCCTGTGCTGCCCAGGGCTTGCAGCAGCCTCAAGCCAGGTGCTGTTGATGTTTGCAGGTACAGGTAGTCAGGACAGAGAGCCAACATCCCTACATCTGCCCAACTTGGAGTTCCTCAGGAGACTCACCAAGCAATATGAGAGTGGAGAAGATGGGGAGAACATCCCTGGGTCAGTGGTGACGGCACGTCCTGCTGCTGCTTCTTGAGTCTTGGTCCTGCACAGCTGGAAGTGGAACTGCATGTATCTTTCCTGTATTATTGCTCCCACTCATGTTTTCAGTAAGCTCCTGCATCCTGTATCACAGAGCAAGAGCAGCCCAAGGCCTGGGATGAGCCGTTCATGCTGGCCAATTGTCCTCCAGCACCTGGCACTGCCCAGTCCTGACACAGGGCTTCCCAGCCCCTCTCTACTTTCTGCACCAGCACCCATCAAGCTCCAGAACTCTGCTGCAGTTCTGCCCAAGTGCGCCGCCCTCGCAGCTGTGCTGCTATGTCTGAAGAGCCAATAAAATGTTTTGGTTTTCAGAGGGCTGCCTGCTCCTTACTGCAGCCATGTGATTGGGGTTCTTCCCTACTGTGTGTGAAAGTTCTGTCTGTCCTTCTCTTCATGAGGGGTTGAGGCTTGTGCAGCCCTGGCAGTTCTGAGGAAGTACCTTGAGAAACCCTGTGCCCCCAGCACAGTGAAGGGGTGCTGTCCCTCCTTCCTTCATGAGAATGCCATCAAATGCCACAAATGTGGTCTCACAGGAGCAGAGTAAAGGGGCAGCATCACCTCTCTTGTCCTGCTGGTCATGCTTCTCTTCATGCAACTCAGGGAGTAGTTGGTCAGGACTGCTGGCAGGACTCAGGAGGAAGGAGAGGAGAGCTGCAAGAGTCACTCAAGGTCTCACAGTCCGTGGCCCCTACATGGACACAATCAACACACAGCATATGCTGCATTCCCCCTCATTCCTATTCCCAGTTGCCTCCTTCGCTCAGCAAGGAACATCATTTGTCCTCATGTGAACAAACTACCCTGCCCTCTAGTGCCAGCTGAGCGCTGTAGGAAACTCACAGCTACTGCTGTGCTCCTCAGCAGCTGCAGCGTTCCTCTTCTTCCCAAAACCCCCAGGACCCATCTTGTACGTCAGGCTGTGGTGAGAATTTCTCCACCTCTTTCTCAGTGTGGGCAGCTCCATATTCACACCTCACACTGCCCAAGCCTGCTTCTTAACAGAACCTCACAGGACAAAGCTTGGTGCACAGATCCACATCACCTCTGTAGCACAGGGAAGACCATTGGCTACTGAGACATGTGGGCTGTGTAGGAGCAAAGAGCGTGTTTAGCCCTCCACCTTGCCCAGTTAGCTCAGCTCCCAAAAGGAGAGTGGCTCCATAAGAGAAAAGAGGGGACCAGAAGCTGGACTCAGTACTCTTTATGGGTCCCTTCTACATAATATAATAAGGATATAATAAGTCTTTATTAGTTGTCTGGACAGAGCAGGCAGAGTGGCAAGGGCAAGGAAGTGGAAAGAGAATGGGAACACAGGTGGTGGCTGGAGCACAAACCAGTGCTCAGTTTCATAGCATCACAGAATCACCAAGGTTGGAAAAGACCTGCAAGATCATCCAGTTCAACTGTTCATCTACCATCAATAGTTTCCACTAAACCATGTTCCTCAACCTGGTGCCTAAACGTTCCTTGAACATCTCCAGGGTTGGTGACTTCACCACCTCTCTGGCAGCCCATTCCAGTTCCTGACCACTCTTCCGGAAAAGCGGTATTTCCTAATGTCCAACTTGCATTTCCCCTGGTACAGCTGGAGGCCATTCCCTCCAGTCCTACCACCAGTTACACCAGAGAAGAGGCGCACCCTCTGCTCGCTACAGCCTCTCTTTATGGAGTTACAGAGAGCAGTGAAGTCTCCCCTGAGCCTCCTCTCCTCCACACTGAACAATCCAGGTTCCCTCAGCCGCTCCTCATAAGCCCCGTGCTGCAGACCCCTCGCTAGCATCATTGCCCTTCTCTGGACACACTCCAGGGCCTCGATGTCTTTCTTGTACTGAGGGGCCCAAAACTGGACACAGTACTTGAGGTGCGGCCTCACCAGGGCTGAGTTCAGAGGGAAAATTACTTTCCTTCTCCTACTGGCAACACTATTTCTTACACAAGTCAGGATGCCATTGGCCTTCCTGGCCACCTGGGTTCACTGCTGGCTCACGTTCAGCTGCACATCAACGAATAAAAAAAATCAAATGGCAGCTATTCCCTTTCTCCCCTCTCTCGAAGTGCCTCTAATTGCACAACTGCCACATCCTGCCTCCATTTTACTGCAAAAGCTGTTGTGGCTCTACTGGTTGCTCCCGGTTCTGGAAGCCTTCTCTGGAGTCTGTCAAATTAGTGTTGATTGAACATCTTCAGATTTTCCCATTTGGAAAGGGGGGTACAGTGAATACATACAGTTCAGGAAGCAGGGGAACTAAAGCCAGCTGATGAGTTGATTTGTATTGCATTGTCTGACTATGTAAGTGTGCAGAAATGGGCCACGGGCCTTGAGGGACCTTTGAGAATGCCTGTCTGAGAAATGACCTTTCCCTGTCTTGCTGGTGGTTGAGCTCCTCCTGATACATATTGGGCAGTGAGGGGAAGAGGTTGCTAACACCAGTGTGACAGCTGATAATTGAGTGAGAATGAGTGAGATTGATAAAACTGAGCATTGGTTTGTGCTCCAGCCACCTCCTGTGGTCCCATCCTCTTTCTGTTCCCTTGCCACTCTGCCTGCTCTGTCCAGACAACTAATAAAGGCTTATTATATCCTGATCTGGAAGGGACCCATAAGGATCACTGAGTCCAGCTTCTGGTCCCCTCTTTTCTCTTATAGAGTCACTCTCCTTTTGGGAGCTGAGCTAACTGGGCAAGGTGGAGGGCCAAGTGCGCTCTTTGTTCCTCCACTGCTCCCATGTCTCAGTAGCCAATGGTCTTCCCTGTGCTGCTGCCTCTGCACAAAGATGCCCTTTTTTGTGATTGCCCTCAGGCATGGTCAATCTGGCAGGCCAGCAAGGCCTCCTTGCACCTTACAGCCTTCCCTAAATGTCCTGCTCTTGATGCATGCAAAGGAATGCATGCAGGGAGCCAGGCAGCATGGAAGTAGGACAGATCATGTAGGTAGCAGCTGGAAGGTCCCAGTATC